TAGCGCTGACTTGTGGCTGTGCGTTTTATTGAAGCATTTGCAATAAAGGAAGTTTTAGGTGTGTGGCCGACTACCATTTTTACCTTTCACCTTCTCTGTTATGTGAGTAGCAGCCTACTAAGACCTGTGTGCCTGTGGAAAGTCTTTAATGTATCATTTTGAATGTCCTATGCTCATTTTCAGAGACATGCAGTTGATTTACTAAATCAAAATCTGGTGTAGCTGTGCATGATAGCCAGTCGGCTTATAACTTCAGCTTGTTGAATTAACCCCTTGATGCCGACCTCGCACAAATATGTGGCCTCACTGCACTGGGCTTTGTCATGGGGCTGCATATTTGCATATCTCCCTTTTTTACTGGGAGCACACTCCCAGCACAGAGACCAGGGTCTCACCAGAGGCTATCACAGCAATCAGGGGACTTGGAATCCGGAACTCCGGGCCCCAATCATTAGTATGGGACCCGGAACTCCGGATTCCGGGTCCCCTAATTGCTGTGATAGCCACCGATTGACTATAACAGTGATCAGTCACTGTGAATCCCTACCCGTGTTTTCTCTGAATGGAGCCGAGAGATACATTGTACCTCTTTCTCTCCTTTTTAGAGAGGAAAAAAGTGTGCAAATTAAATTATTTAAAAAATAAAATAAAGAAACAATACCTAGATCAAGGTGTTTTTTCTAGGTCAGTGCCAATGTTAGTGTTTTGGGCAAGTAAGTGTTAAAGGTCAGGGTCAGTATATTTTGGGCAGGATTTTTTTTTTTTTTTTTAATTAGTGTCAGTGTGTTTTAGATAGGACAAAAAAATATAGCAAAATGTGCACTATTGTTTCTGGACTGTACTACAGGTTCAAACAACAAATAACATACACATATGTGGCATCGCTGTGATCTTCAGGACCAGGAAAATTTTTGTTGGGGTTTTTTCTTTGGTGGAAGGTTTTGGTAGCAAATAAGAAATATACCGCTAAATTTTAAAAAATATATATATTTTTACTATTTTGGGTCATGTTTTCCTTTGATAATAATTAAAAAAATCAGGAGATAGCCATTACCATTCACCACCAAATGAAAGCCCAATTTGTCCTGAAAAAAAGGTATAATTCACCTGGATGTACAAAATAGTTGTGGTGATATGTATAGGTTTGCGAACCCATGTCAAAATTGCAAAATTTTGCTTAGGCTTTAGGATTTGTTTTACCCTTAGGCATGAAGGGGTTAGGATTTGACAAAAGAACCTGAAAGCTGATTGGTTTCTGTGCAGAGCTTCACTAGAGTTTGCACTCTCAAGTGTTAGCAAATCTACCCCATAGTTTTCCTAAACTAGTCATGACCTCTAATTGGAATTCTAAGTCTCCAAAAGTCACAACTGGTTTTGTAGGCGAAGTGATAGTTGTGATGGAGCCCAGAGCGTGACCCCAGCCCTTCTCACCAACTTTCTCACCAACTGACCAAAGGACCAGCCAATCTCACACCGCGCTGTCACTTGCATAACAATGTCATTCTCAGCTGCGCCCTGCACAAAGATTTTCCAGGTCACGGGACTACAATCTGTGTGCCAGCAGCCTGAGAGCGATTGTTACTGGGTTAGGCTAATTACGCAATTAACCCTTCACACTGCCACCACCACCTTTTATTACAGAGAAGGAGGAAACTCACAAATCTTAACCATAACACTATGATATTAGCATATGCGTCTGTAAAACACACGGTCACCGCAGACCGATATATTCAGAGGATTATAACATACAGTAGCACTCTTCAAGAGATGGGGATTCTTTAGTTTGCATTAAAAGCTTTAGAGACTGTTTCAACACTTTTCAAAATATGGTTTCAAAAAGGTCAAAACGGTGCAATTAAAATATTTACAGAAAAAGATGTTGCAAAGATATAAAGAGAACAATAAAACAGAGAAATAAAAGAAAGGAGTTCAGAAGGCAGAATACTTGCTATATCCTTGGTTTAAGCAGAGTCCAATTGTCCAAACAAAAAGATTGCCTTGGCTCTCAAGTCCGTTTAGATGTTTCCTGATTGATGTTGAACGAGAGCTGTCTTTTCTCCAGCCTGTCAGGCTTTTTCTATCATATTAAAAGGGTGTCACCTGAGAACAAATGACCAATCATCCAGTTTGGGGATGGGGTCTAGGAGGTAACAATTTCATACTAAAGTTAATAACTTCCAATAGGTACAGGTAGCATCCTAGCAACTGGCAGATTAATATTCAGAATTATATTTCAAACCCAGGGATACCAAACACAGCGTACCCTTGTCACCCAGGAGGGAAGAGACTGCTTTCTTCCCTATCCTAGGTGCTAATATAGTCATGTAAGGCCTTGTTTGACTCACATTAAAATGATCTATCCAAATATATACCTAATATTAATGTGCCTAATTCCTGATGAACTTTATGAATAGTATGAAAAATGTCTACACGTGGAATGTATGTTTAATTGCACACTCCAGCCCTAATGGCCTAACAGGTCATGACTGACTGAGTTATTGCTTTACGATCGGGCAGAGGAAAGTGGCTTTCAAAGCAGACTTCCTGCACCAGACTAATTAGCGGTTTACAGCCCTGAAGCTTCCTCTATCTGTGTTTTATTTACGATAAGAGGCCCTTTTGATGTCCATTCAACTTACATCTATAAATTCCATTTTATGTGAGAGGAGGGAGGAAAGGAGAGACAAAATGGCTGAGGCCTAACAAGATTGCTGTCACGTACAGCGTCCATATCTCTATTGCACACAATCACCACAATAGTAATATTGTTAAATGTTTTCTAAAAAAAATAGCACTTTCTTGTAATTTTGGTAAAAGTCAGGAACCTGGCCTTCTTGACTTCTCAAATTGACCAGTGGAAGAGCTTTACTATGTTTACTATAACTTTCATATGTTGCTTGGTGTCATCTAAACTTTCCAAAACTGTTAAGGGTTTGTATAGTGAAAGAGATTTCTATATACATAATAGACGTCACGTGTCTGTTTCCATCCACAGATTCAACATCCGAAACCCAAATGCTTTTATTTACATTGCAGACATTAAAAATGTGTGACCATTGCTCAAGTAAACTTGCACTGAAATGAAATTCTTACTCCTGTTTTAGACAACGAACACTGTCCTCATATTTTTTTTTTTTTTTTTTTTTTGCATCTCGATAAAAAAAAAATCAGCTTTGCTGTTCAGCTGTATTTTTATATCCCAAAATTTCACAGTTCTTGCAAGCTCTTCTGAGACCACATTCCTTTGGGACCTTTTCTTTCTTTGAAAATCTCTGTAAACATAGGAACTTTCTGAAAGATTTATCTTTGATATGCCGACACGTTGCTTTTCTAAGGAACTCCATTATCTTGTATGTCCTCCTAAGCAAATGATATTGGGTCTTGAGAAGCTCATTAGATACTTTTAGAAGGCAACAATTAAAAGATAATTTATAAGTGGTATCAAACCCCAGTTAGGCTTTTGATGACATCTAGTTATTCCCTGTATTAAGGGTTTTGGTGGGACATGCATGTTTATCCAAGCTTGTTAGGGTTAGGAGAGACTGTTAGGGTGGCCAGTATACTAATACACTCAACTCTTACAACCCCCCACCTCTCTATTACAATATCAAGACAAGAAGATAAACTGACTGATCCAATCCGCATGACATGAGAAAAAAAAAAATATTGCTTCCTATGGTGCACTGGCGGTGCGATTTCAGTGCGGTTTGCAAAAGTCATGTACGATTTCTGAGCAGTGCCTTCAGGTTCAGGTGCGGATTACAGGCTATTAACTTCTATGGTAACTGTTTCTAAACCGCATATGTGTGAACAGGATAAGATCCTGAGCTAATCCTGTCCTGAACCTGATGTAAACCTGACATGAACCACTGAACAACCACTATCAATTGGCTGTGAAACCTGAGCTTCAGCCCACACTGCACATGTGTGAATCTACTCTCAAACTCGCTAAAGAATTCTCCATTCTGAACTAAGGGACATATTAGAGTGATCCATCTCCATCCTACTAAACTGTGTGTGTCCCCCAAACAAAAAAGCATAACGGTGCAAAAACTAACTCAACATGTTTCACTCAAATGAAAGGGCTTCGTCAGGAGTGAAAAAATAAATCTAACTGTGTACCCAACGTAAATATACGAAATTCAAACAAAAGCGCATATGGCAAAATATGGCTAGCCTCTCCTCTCTATGTACAGTACCTGTATGCACCGCTTTTGCAGTACTTTGAATATGTTTACACTGGGGCTAGCCCACTAGTGGTGTGGCTGTGGTTTATATACTGTATTGCCACAGAGGCCAGTGTACCCTTTTTTTATTACTGCAGAGAGGTAGCTACAGTTTGCGATAGATCTATATCTATTTTAAGGCCAATGTATACTGCATGGATTGTCTAGCTTTCTAAATGGGGGAGACATTCACCCCATTTAAAGGGCTATCCTATTTCTTTCCATCTTTTGATGTGAATTTTGCGGACTGTCTTCTGGCCACCCCACAGGTGGATATGAGGAAATTGTGAGATAGATCTCTTTTTTTTTTCCCTAGTTGCTTTTTGAGGGTGATGCGTGTTTTTTTTGGTCTCCATCCTAAGAGTATGTAAACAACACACACAAAAAAATCCTATTTAATAAATCCTAATAAAAGTTAGGTCATTGTTTCTCCCCCGTGGCTTTTGGTGCGTGGGTATACGCAGGCTTGTTTCTTGTTTAAGTATATGTACATGCCATATTTTTTAGGGAGTTTTGCAATTGTTAAATATAGTAGGTATTCCTTTGAGTAACTACCTATGAACTTGCAAATGGCAGAGGCTCGCAGTAGTATAATTCATGTGACTGTTAATTCCGATATTGAGCTTGTTTGAAAGGGCACATAAATATGCTGTTTGAAAGTAAACATGAAACAAATGCTTATTTGGACGAATGTTGATTTTTATCATATATATTTTGTATGTATTTTCAGCACAATATATTGTATGTATAAAAGTCCTGTTTATCTCTTTTCAGGTGCTGCATTTCTGGCTATTACTACAATATATGCAGAAAGTGGGACTGGTTTTTTAGTCCCTAGTGCTTCTGCTAAGGCAGGCGTAGAAGCTATGTGCAAGTAAGTTCTTCATGATACTCAGTACGATATAATAACTGCTTTAGAGGGCAGCGCACTGGCATAGCAAGCTTTCTTTGCAGCGTTGGGACTGCTGGGTTTGTTTCCAGCAGTGATAACTCCTGCAGGTTTGTCCATGTTTGCATGGGCTTTTCTCTAGCAATCTAGAAATGTTGGTAAGTTAATAGTCTTCTGCTGAATTTGTTATTAAATTATATGATATGGTAATGTTAGAGTAGATGCATTCGATTTTAGGCTTCTTCGGGGCCGGGTTCAGTGTACACTGCTGATGTTACAGAACTTACTGGTAGCATATAAATAATCAAAATAAACATCCAATAAAGCTTATGTATGACAAACCAATAGCAGCCAGTTGAATAACCTTATGTTAATTGTACATGACCTAGGAATTCTATTATTTGACAATAGGTTACTTGCAGGCTCCCTTTTTTTTTCTTTTTCTGTAAAGAATACATTTTGTTGAGCCTCCTTTTATGTAATAGATAAATATAAATATGTACATATGTACACACCAACCAAGCTACATTTTGCCATGCTAATCTGTACAGCTATTTAAACGTGAAGTGCGGGAAACAAAAAAAAATATTATTATACAATTCTCTATCTCTCTATTAAACTTTGTGGGGAAAACAAATCTATCTATCTATTAAACTTTGTGGGGAAAACAAATCTATCTATCCACACACACTCCCCACTTGTGGGGAAAACAAATCTATCTATCCACACACACTGCTGGCTACAGCATCGGAGTAATGCTGCAGTTGTCCCCAGTGACACTAAGCCCGAGAACTTTGCATTCACGTGACCCCTGATCTCTCAGTTCTCAAATCTGCTCTGAATGCTCTGCCCCTCCAGTGCTCACTGGAGCGCCAAGCAGGAGAGGGGCAGGAGCAGCTGGCCCAGGTTCAGTGGCATGCTGAAAAGTGGAGCCAGCTGACTATTAGGCATCTGGATAAATTCTGACATTATTGACAATGTACCCATGCTACCAAGCAGCCATGCTCTGCATCAAAAATGTCCCCAAAGAAAACATGCGCCTTTCTCGTGACCTAACAGTATGCCACCATTTTAGCTGATGTGCAAGTGGTAAAGTAGATGGACATTTGAGCTATTTCATGCAGAATTAAAAGGATTAATAATTGCATTTGTGGGCTATTTCAAAGTAATTTGCAGAAATGATGTATTTTTGCTTTCTTCCATATTGAAGATCCCTTGCTGCTGAATGGGGAAAATACGGCATGAGATTTAATGTGATACAGCCTGGGCCCATAAAAACCAAGGTGCCTGAAAGTTTCTTAGACCATATTGCAGATTTCATAATAAAGGTTAGAAATGCACAAGATTTTTTTTTTTTCTAATTTTTCATTGTTTTTTCTCAGGGAGCCTTTAGCCGCTTAGACCCCACTGGATCCTTTGAGGCTGCAATGCCAGAGAGAATTCCCTGTGGACGCCTGGGAACCGTTGGAGAACTAGCCAATCTTGCAGTGTACCTGTGCAGTGACTATGCTAATTGGGTGTCTGGAGCAGTAAGTTTATTGCTTGGACTTTTTGTTTTATTAATTATATGTATGGGAGTAAATTGCACAGTACAAGTTCCATATTCTCCATGATGTTCTAAAATTCAAAGCAAAAAAGTCAAAGAATGAGGAGGTGGCAACTCTGGCTTTTTCTTGAGCTTTTGAGGTGCTTTTTTTTTTTTAATGCAAAAACGCTTTAAAAATACTCAGTGTGAAAGTAGGCTTTCTATACAATGGGTACGCATAGGAGTTTTTACTGCGCTTTTGCCACATTTTCTGAGTGCAGCTCCAAAGATGCTGCAAACAGGAGTTTTTACATCGCAACACCCCAGTGTGAAAACATTCATAGCCATACATAGGGAAGCATTTTTCTTGAGGAGTTCAGGCACTTTTTTTTTTTTTTTACACGAAAGCACTTCAAAAACTCTTCAGTGTGAAAGTAGCTTTAGTCCAAAAAGCATAGTCATAAGCATAAAGCCAATCATCATGCCAGTTATAGCATGTAGCATCCAAGGAATGTCCATATCATGTCATGCAGTGGAAATGAAGAGAACTGCGGATTAGTGACCAAGCTGTATACAGCTAGTATGAGTCCACTTTGCTGAGTTATAAACACAGGACAAGAGGTTTGGCAGCTCAACATTCAAGATAGTACTTGAGGCAAGTCCAGCAGTAGTGGAAGATTACATATGTAGTCACAGAGGAAGATCACATGTAGATCACTCACCTGGAATATATCTGCCACTATAAGTGAACTCAGAACAATTATCGATCCCTCAGCAGTCCTTCCTTAGATGCTGTCTGCAATGAGCTGCTAATTCATCCTCATAAATATGGTCAGATTGCCTCTAGTAACATGCCTCCTGTAAGGAAAGGGCTGACCAGATTTTCTGATTTTTCAGGTATTGCACACAGGGTTCCAGACCAGCCTTGCATGATCAATGACATGTTGGGACAACTGCGGACATCGCTTCCAGACGCAGTTGTTTTTTTTTTTTTTTTTCTCTTGTAAAAACATTTAAAAACCACTTATTTTCCTTCCACTTCACAATTATGTACCACTTTGTTTTGGTCTATCACATTAAAATCCCAATAAAAACACATTTGCTTTTTACGTCGCAACATGACAAAATGTGGAAAATTTTCAAGGGGTATGAATACTTTTTCAAGGGTGTGTGTATGTATATGTATGTATGTATGTGTGTATATATATATATATGTGTTTATGTAGGTATTTATAACTTGATTCAAGGTAGGATGGATCCATGCTTTCATGTTGTTTATGCCATATTCTGACCCTACCATCTGAATGTCGCAGCAGCCAGTCTGCTCATTGTCCTCTGACCTCCTGACATCAACAAGGCATTTTCGTCTACACAACTGCCACTCACTGGATATTTTCTCTTTTCGGACCATTCTCTGTAAACCCTAGAGATGGTTGTGCCTTAAAATCCCAGTAGATCAGCAGTTTTTGAAATACTCCAGCACGTCTGGCCCCAACAACCATGCCACGTTCAGAATCACTTAAATCCCATTTCTTCCCCATTCTGATGCTGGATTTGAACTTCAGCAAGTCGTCTTCACCACATCTACATGCCTAAATGCTTTGAGCTGCTGCCATGTGATTGGCTGATTAGCAGTTTGTGTTACCAAACAATTAAACAAGTGTACCTAATAAAGTGGCCGGTGAGTGTATGTGTGAATGCGGAGATCTGTGAGGTGTTTGCTTTTTTTTTTCTATTTTTTTTTTTTTTTTCTTTTTTCATTCAGCCTGGTTGAACAAAAATATAATTAAGTATATAGCCAGCGTAAGACACATTAACTTGTGGAGAAAATAATTTACCTTGACTTTTTTTACTGTAAATATCTTATGCCTGACTGGATATACTGTGTGCTTCTCCTTTCCTTTTCATTGGAATGACTTGCAAGTAAAAACTGGTAAGCTTTTGTAAATAGGTGCACATTTGTAGAATCATAAAATTGTTCCATCAGAAAAACTGATGCATTTGTAGGACACATGAAGTCCTATTTTGGACATATTATTATTATACAGGATTTATATAGCGCCAACAGTTTGCGCAGCACTTTACAATATAACGGGAGACAGTACAATTACAAATATTACAATACTTTCAGAACAGAAGGAATAGGAGGGCCCTGCTCATGGAGCTTACAATCTAAAGGAAGGGGGAGATGATACAAAAGGTGATGGCTGCGGTGGATGATGTGGCGGAGGTGATTCAAGTACAGTTCTTAGGTGGAGGTTGGGTAGGCTTCCCTGAATAAGTGAGTTTTCAAAGATTGCCTAAAGGCAGACAGGGTGGGGGCTGACCAGACATGCTGTGGTAAGGAGTTCCAGAGGATGGGAGAGGCTCTGGAGGCGAGCGTGGGAGGAGATGATGAGGGAGCTAGAGAGGAGGATATCATGGGAGGAGTGGAGTGGGCGATTTGGGCGGTATCTGTGGATGAGGTTGGCGATGTAGCTAGGGGCAGGGTTGTGGATGGCTTTGTAAGCTGTGGTTAGTATTTTGAATTTTATACGTTGGGTTAGTGGAAGCCAGTGAAGGGATTTGCAGAGAGGGGCAGCAGTCGCTGATCGGTTGGTAAGGCGTATGAGTCCAGCAGCAGCATTCATAATAGACTGAAGGGGGGATAGCCTGTGTAATGGTAGACCAGTGAGGAGGGAGTTGCACTAATCAAGGCGGGATAAAACCAAGGCGTGGATAAGTTGTTTTGTGGTGTCCTTGGTCAGGAAGGAGCAGATTTTGGAAATGTTCCGGGGGGTTGAGGCGGCAGGAATTAGCCAGTGAGTGGATGTGAGGCCCAAAGGAGAGGTCAGAGTCTAGGATTACACCTAGCACCCTGGCATGAGGGGAAGGACCAATGGTTGTGCTGTTGATCTTAATGGTCGTGAGTGGGGGATCAGGGGGGAGGAAATATTACAAGCTCGGTTTTGGAAAGATTGAGTTTGAGGTAGTGGTGTGACATATACACTTATTCTGTCAGGAGAAAAAAAACTGTCTATTGATCTACACAGGGAAGATTCTTCTACCTACTGATGATTCTTTAGATTTTAACAGAAACCATAGTAATGGCTATACTAGAGTCTATACCTGTACAAATTTAAAGTGCAACCATGGGCAAAATAAAAAAAAAAAAATACATATTGCTGTCTGTTACTAGCATTAACACAGCAGTGTTTGATTTTGTTTTTCCCTGTAACAAAGCTTATTACCTGTTGACGCTGTCAATGAATCGAATATCTCTGCACTTACTAATAGGGTAACAAAACTGTCCATGAGGTGAAATGGCATAGTATTGTGTGTCGCCCTGTGGGCCAGTCATAGATAAAGATGTCATTTTAAATGGACAAACAAATTAAAGACTCCAGCCAATACTTTTACACTGTGTTTACACAGATACTAAAGTTGTTTTTTTCTTTTGTTAAAAAGAAAAATTTAAGCCATACTCATAAAAGCTGACCAGTTGTAAGCAGCCCTGTTGTTGTTGCATGGTTTGTCCCAACCCTTCAAAATTGAAGCTTTTAATGGATATCTTAGTCCCTGAAAGGAAGTGAAAAACAAATCTAATAATAATAAACATTTTTGTCAGAAAAAACAAAAACTGCTTTGTTAATGCTAATGACAGACTGCATCATATGAGGTCTGCAACTAACAATTATTTTCACAATCAATTAGTTTGTGGATTTATTGTTTTGATTAATTGGATAAAAACCTTTTTTAAAAAAAAAGTGTGGTTTATAATTTTAGTTAATATGTAAAGTTAAAAAAAAATATATATTCTTGAATATCTTTATGCATTGGTAAATATAAATAACTATCTATATGGTTAGGGAACAAAATATCTAATCCACTCTGAGAGTAACAGACAGAAATGATATATACACACACTGTATATACTATTAGAGGTTGAATCTGGTACATATCATCAGACTCGGAGGTCAAAATTTTTAATTAAAGAAAAAAATACTTAAAACACTGTTTTGATAGATTTTCCAAACAGGATTTTCTGTAAGATGTTATGCATGACAGACTCTCTTGCCCATAGCCAGGCCATAGCTTGATACAAACTACCCGCACCTGCTGTCACTAAGACACTTAGTAGCAGCAGCATGCTTTTTGTATCACCTGTAATGATGAGGCACTGCTTCTTACACATTCACAAGTTCTCAGGCACTTACTGACATGTATGGTTTGTACTGAGCTGTATGTGTGCAGCAATGTGTATACTGACATAAATGGTATACTGAACTATATGTGTGCTGCTCTGTATTTCCTGATATGCAAACAAAGAATGCATTCTGTATGCAGGCCAATTAATTGGTTGACCAACTAATCGATTATAAAAATTGTTGTAATTTATTTTCATTTTCGATTATGTCAATTAGTTGTTTCAGCCCTACATCATATGTCATTTTTAATGTATAATTTCACTTTAAATTATTTTGATTCCTGGAAATATGGTTGTCATAAGTTAAGATAGTTAAGTTATTACCGGCTTTCATAGGTCAGAATCTTGGATGGATATTAACCTGTTCCTGACCACCATCTGTGCATAAACAAATTACAAGGATGTTGCCCCGTACTGGGGCTATGTTTATACGCTTCCAGTTTAAGAGGCAGCAGTTCACATTTAGCGCAGTCATTGACAGTTTGGGTCCCCACTGAGGACTGGAGCCAATACTTGTTTCCTGATTATGTAATCATTGTGATCACATGCCAGGTGGAGCCTTAATTGAGAGAAATGAAAGCCTGCACATGAACATTATTACCACTATAGCAATATTAAAATTAAAATAAAACAGTATTTTTTTATTTTGTGTTTGTAAGCCTTTGCTAAGAAACAGAACATAGTTTATTTAAATAGTGTACCGAATAAATCCTTATACAACCTTAAAAAAAGTGTTTAAAAAAAAAAAAAGATTTAGGTATGTAAGTTTAGTCATACAGTTGTTTAGTTTCCTGACACCAATGCCTGGACATTTAGGCATCGATGATCTCTGGGCTTAAAATGAGTTGCATAATAAGTAGAACCTTCACCAAAAAGAAAAACAACTAACTTGTATTTAAGTT